CCTTCGGCCGCATCTGGCTCTCCGTGGTCTTCGTCTTCCGTGTGCTGGTCTACGTGGTGGCAGCCGAGCGCGTGTGGGGAGATGAGCAGAAGGACTTTGACTGCAACACACGGCAGCCGGGCTGCACCAATGTCTGCTACGACCACTTCTTCCCCATCTCCCACATCCGCCTCTGGGCCCTGCAGCTCATCTTTGTCACTTGCCCTTCCCTCCTGGTCATCATGCACGTGGCCTACCGGGAGGACCGTGAGAAGAAGAACCGTGAGAAGAACGGGGAAAATTGCCCCAAGCTCTACAGCAACACGGGCAAGAAGCACGGCGGGCTGTGGTGGACCTACCTGCTCAGCCTCTTCTTCAAGCTTATCATAGAGATCCTGTTCCTCTACCTCCTCCACAAGATGTGGGACAGCTTCGACTTGCCACGGCTGGTCAAATGCTCCAACATAGACCCCTGCCCCAACATTGTAGACTGCTACATTGCTCGGCCAACCGAGAAAAGAGTGTTCACCTATTTCATGGTCGGAGCCTCCTCCATCTGCATCGTCCTCACCGTCTGTGAGATCTTCTACCTCATCTTCAAGCGGGTTGTGCAGAGTGCACGGAAGTGGAAGAAGTCCACCAAGCACTCGGTCAGCTACAGCAAGGCCTCCACCTGCCGGTGCCACCTCAAGACGGAGGAGAAGGACAAGTCCCAGACTAGGTGTGTGGCAGCCCTGCGGGCCTCGGCTCCCAACCTGACTGCCATCTGATGGGGTGCTGGGAGGGGAATAGGAAGGGAGACGTGTCCAGGGATGGCTGGCCCCAGAAGTGGCCACTGGTGATGCCACCACCAGACTCTTCAGCCAGGACCTCGATGGCTCTAAAGGGGAGGGAGGACACATCCACAGGAACTCTCCTGCTCGGGACCATGGCCACGTCCCCGGGTGTCCCAGCGGTGCGGGCATGCTCGGCGCCAGGTGGGTGCCAGCTTCCCGTGGGCATGCCTGAGCGTGTCTCTTCTTTCCACAGAGGAGAAGAGCTGTGAGCTTGCCCGTCCCAGCCAGTTCGTCTTCCCCTTGGCCCAGCAGCTTTTCAAGCCTGCCAAGTCCCCGAAACCTCAAGAGTCGACCTGTGTGAAAAATGACTAAACCCAACAAAGTCCCCTGAGAGAGGCCCCCTCTAGCAGATGCAGGTAAGGCAAGGGCAGCCCCGGAGCTCTGCCGGCTGCACGCGGTGGTGCCGCGGGGCTTGGACGTCACACCGACACACAGATGCCATGCATGACTCTGCCGAGCAGCCGGCCCTGCCACGGCAGCCAGCACTGTCCGTCTCGGCAGTGAGCCTGGCCGAAAGCTGCAGGGATGAAGCCATTGAGCTTGAAGGGCACACAGGACTGGGGCTGGCAGGAGGGAGCATGGGCGCTCCCATGTCCCAACAGCTTCTCTTGGGTCCTCCAGCTCTGCTGCTCCCATACTGGGTACGAATGCATCAGTTGGTGCCCGGTCAGGGCTGGTGTCACTCAGCGTGGTGACAGTCCCCAGTTTGCCAATACTGGGGCAGGAGCAGCTTTTCCCCCCTTGCTCATGCAAGCACCGTGCCGATGTCCTGCCCAAATGCCCTTGCTGATTCTGCTGCTTCCCTCGGTGCCTTTGTATCCCCCCTTGCCTCAGATGGACGTCACACACAGCATCAGCTATGGATCCAAAAGGGCAATAAACATCGTGCTGTTTGTAGACACTGGGATCTGCTCTGCACACTGTAAATCGAGGGGACTTGGTGAGGGCAGAAGAAATGGATTTGCAGAGGTTACCCAGGAGCCTGCAGTCGGGTGCTCCTCGCTCCTGCCCGAGCCGGTGGGGCACGGGTCGAGCCCCAGGGACAGCATGCCTGGCATCCACCCGCTCTGCCTCCTCCCGGCTTGTCACACGTTGTTAAACTTTAATTCACCAGAACCGCACACTGGCCCCCAAGGAAATCAAGGAGGGATCAGCATCAATTATTTACTAAACCTTGATAAATATTACAATAAATAGAAATTATTTCCATTTAATCTCTCCTTAACCAGCGCTTAAGGGGCTGCTGGCGCTCCGGCCAGCCACGTTTCCAGCTCTGCTCAGCCCACTCGCGCTTCCCCAGACCCATGAGCGTGTCGCAGTATGCGCTGACACAGCCGGGGCTCATGCCACTGCGAGAGGCTGTGACAGTGATGCCCATGCTGCCGGTCGGACTGGGAAGCGGCTCTGGCACCAGCGTGGGTCTGCTTTGGGACACCCGCACGGCTCACTGGGGACCTGTGGCTGGGGGGGGGGAAGCCTGTGCTTGGGCACAGTCCTCCTGGTGGGTAAAGCAATGTGGGACCCGGCACATCCATGCGTGAGGGCAGCTCCGGTTCCTTTGTGGTTTTGGAGCAGCTCCCTGGAGGTGATCTTTTCCACCCATTGAGGGCTGGCGGGGTGCAGAGTATCACTAGGGAACGGGGCCAAGGAGGGCCTCGCCGTAGCAGCAGACATAGCCCAGGGGTGGTGGGAAGGGAGGAGCGGTACTCACAGTGGGCTGGCTGGGAGATGGGCACTGGGCTCTGCAGCACCCTGGTGCGATGGCATGGGGTGGCACATGGGTGTTACCTGAAGCACGGCAATTATTTCATATTAAACATAACGACGCTGTTCAGACTCTGCCTTCTGCTCAGCCCCGGCACTGTCTGTGAGGAGGAAATGCCACGTCTCGGTGTGGGAGAGGTGGCGGCTCCCAGTCGTGTGCGCGGACTGGCCTAGTTTCTGGTTTCGATAGCCCGAGCCCAAATCCGCCACCCCCAGCTAGCCCGACGCAGCCCACGCCAAGTGTGCCAGCCCTTTGCGGCCGCTGCAGGCCAGGGGCAGGGGGGGCACACACGGGGGTTTTGCCCCCCTGAAGCCAGCAGGACTTAAGCCTGTGCATAAAATGTCAGCATCTGCCCACCTGCTGTCCCCCCTCCTTGTGGGGGGGCCTCTGCACCCCCCGCAGCGCCCCGTCTGAGCCCCCCGACAGCAAACCTCCGCTTAAAACCCGGTGGCGGGGCCCACACCCCGGCTCCCGCA